CAATAAAACAACATGCAATATAGTTCAGCACAGTTAACTAAAATGATATCTCAACCATAAACTCACTGACTTGGACCAACTTGAACATATAAATCCAACAATATATACAATTATAGATGTGTTTATGTTTAAAAATTCCACAAATCCAAATAGTTAGTTATATGTATTATCTGTCAATAAGATTGTATTCTTGGATTCAGTGTTCGAAAGGTTAATAATTGTGATAGTTTCCACAAACTCTTGGCATAAAATTTTTACAGAAACGAGAGTTTTTTATTAATAAGCAAAATGTAACGCAGTAGTCGAAAAGCGCGCGAATAAATTTAAGCAGCTGTTAAGTTGAGCACGCCTTGGGATGGTTTATCGGTGCAATGATTGCTAACCAACGCCTCACATGGTCTAGGGTTCGATTCTCAGACTGTGCACACACCTTTATTCCCTCATCGTTGTAAGCGTAGAACTTGGGCATTATGAAAGAGGTAATACCATGTTATATATATATAAGTTTATTTTCAATATCACACACAGTGATGATCAGGCAGTATTATTAACAACTGGTTGACAAGGTTTTGAGCATAAATTACTGATGCACATAATCGTATTAATTTTAGCAACACGGTTCCACAATTTGTCTTATATATACATATATATACCCTCCCTACCTCTCTCTCTCTCTCCAACATCCCCTTGTTGTTTGTTGCCATTTTCCATATCTCCAATATAGGTGATGCGTTGTATCATTCCGATTGTACGTGGGTGGTGTTGAATCGAGGAACACCTAACACCACCTAACTAAAATACTTTTTAAATACTCTCATCTAGTCCCACCCTACTGCTGTGTGATTACATGCAAGTGGATGTAATGTAATAGCTGAGGATTGTTCTAGGTCAGTCATTACAGATTCAGCTAAATTTTTATATTCCAATAATCTAGTTGACCCCGATCTACTAGTCTGACTTATATAATTGATCTCATAGTCATTACATGACATTTACTAAATTAGATTATATTTCTCAGTTGGATCTATTGGATCATTTAGCCAACAAAGTTTATCTCTGAGAGAGTTGGTTGGTTGGTTTAATATTACTATTAAAAAAAATATTTCCTTTAATTCCTAGAGGAACATAAGGCTTCAGCCGCACGTCCCTATTTTGTTCGGTTCTCTGCCATGGCTCCAAGTCTGCCTACATACTTTCATGTCCTCTTCACAAGACCTCCTTCAAGTCACCCTTGGACGACCAACTCTCCGCTTCCCGTACAGGTTTCACTCGAGCAATGGCTTATCTAGTGATGTCACTTGATGGTTTGTTTTCTCAGAGTATGGCCAATCCACCTCTATTTCTTCCTGCATATATCTTGCACAATTGGTTCCTGATGGGTTGGCTCGTTCCCAGAGATTCCTGTTGCTGATCTCTTCACGTTGGTCATCTGATCTTGAGTACTGAGCAAAGAAAGTCTTTGATGAAAGTATATAGTTTGTTCGAAGTGGCCTTCGTGACTCAGTGCAATGGCAAGTCTCTGACCCGTGCGTATAGTAAGTAGCACTGAATTCATATTGGTTGGTTTAAGTAGCATATTAATTTCAGTGTCACTGAGAATCCTACATAAGGCCTCTGACGTTCCTTTCTTTAAACGACATCCCACCCTCTACACACACACACACACACAAAACTAGCCACTTGTAAGCCCAACAAAGACGGAAGACTAGACTAGACATGACGCCACAAAAGCCCATCCTGTAAAAAAAAAATAAACACCACTTCTATTGAAACTTCAAATCTCAACCTTGAAGAAGTCCTATGTTCTACTCTGTGAACTCAAAAGCATAGAATAGAGTAGAATAAGTTGAACACTACAGAACCAACAGTGCTGAATTGAGCTGAAAATGTATCAACTGTGAATACTTACAATTGATAGGTGATGATTGTTTAATTTTGTAGCAATAAAATACTCTTTTATGATACCATCCATTCATCCTCTTGACATTAATGTCATCCACCCTCAACTCCCCCACACACAGCCACGTACAAACACACACACACACACAACCACACAGTAAACCATCGTTACACCATAAAAGTAAGAATTTCATTGTATTACACAATAGACCGTGTATACTCATACATGCTCGTTTAATGACATAGATCATATATGTGTATATATGTATAAATATTGTTAGTAATATACAATTAGAAACAGTAAATGAATCAATTACTGATAATTATTCTGATAATACTACTACTACTAATAATAATAATATTCTATTTCTAGTGAATAATAGTAATAATAAATTCAATGGAATAATTGATGAGAATATATTTTATTAACTGAGCACTATTTATACACACACACTCTCTCTGTATACGACAGACAGAGAAAATCGTTATGCTTGTGTGTCTGTGTGTGTGAGTGTGTGTAAGTTGTACATTTATAGGGTAGAAACATTTCATGTTTCAGGTGAATAGTGATACTCTAAAATATGCTTAAATATGTTTTGCTTGTGGCTATAATAATATACATATATCTCCATCACAGACAGGCAAATAGTTGATGTTAGCAGAACCTAGATCTATTTGTGATTTAATCGATTTGTTTACTCTCTTCTTGTGTTTGTAATAAAAATGTTAAGAATAATAATTCACTCATATTTGTGAGTAGTAGTAATTGTTGTTGTGTCAACAAAACTGACCACATTAATGATATATTTATAGAGGTAGATACTTGTGTCACGACAAAAGACAAGGTCAAGGCAACAGATCCTTTATTGTGGAAATCAAGAAATATTTATATTTTCAAGTATCGTGAATTGGCAGAAGTTAGAATTCAAGGACCATTGGATCGGTTCCAGTGGCTCAACGGTCTACGAGCTAGCTCGCCTTGTAACCAGAAGGTCCTGGGTTCGAATCCCGTGGTGTGGGTGCGTACTGATGAAGATTGCCAAACTAGGATGTAACAGCTGTCCAGTACTCCCAGGTTTTCGAGTGGTTCTCTAACTGATGTCAGCTCATGATTAAATCCTCCATGCAATCAAATGTTTATATATTTTTATGTACATCATTATTCGTTATTATTCACAGAGAGACAGTCTCATCTGATTGATTGTTTCTCTTGCTGAAAGTTATTCCGTACTTCAAATGAACTGTCGTCAGGATTTGACAGAATAATTCTAAAATATTTAGGCGCCGAGTGAGAAGTAGACATTTGTAAAAAATTATATATTTGTAAAATCTCACCGAGATTGAAATGAATAATTCCAACGTTTCCTGTGTTCGGCAATCCGGTGGTCCGAACTTCTTCAGGGAAAATAATTGAAATTAACAAAACTGAGGTTTATATATAAAAGGAACGTTTCTTGTTTTTAAAAACTTTGTTCAGAAAGAAGACAAAGTAATAAGTTCGTCAGGGTGCTTCAACTAAACTCTAATCCTAAACACCATAATTTTGAAAATACGTCTAATCATAAATTCTAGATACTAGCGGTATGAACAGACATGAGGGTGTGATGTTAGCTGATGCATAGGAAATCCTGATTAATAAATAAATAAAAAATGGATATGTATCACTAATTAATAATACTTGGTCAAAGTTCCTGACTGTCTATATCTTCTTATGGAGACGTTAAGAAACTGTTTTACAACTGTTTACCCGCACACGCATGCACACTGTGTTTAAAATGTTTAACAAAGGTAGACAAATATTTGTGAGTCCGAGGTCAAATTTTGATCACAGCTCATACAATTTTAATGAAAAACAATTCCAACAGTGGTGTGAACACGGGCAGTAATTTTGCTCAAAATATTACCAATAACAAAACTTATCTTTGTGTGTAAACTATTGAAATATAGTTATACTTTATTTCATACAATTTTGTTTGTTATACTTGTTAATGCTTGTTTTATGACTTATGATTGGACAAAGTTTTTAAAAACAAGAAACGTTCCTTTTATATATATATAAACCTCTTTTATGTTAATTTCGATTGATTTCCCTGAAGAAGTTCGGACCACCGGATTGCCGAACACAGGAAACGTTGGAATTACTCATTTCAATCTCGCTGAGATTTTACAAATATAATTTTTGTTACAAATGTTACTCTGTACTGATTGTGATCCCATTCCTTAGAAAGTTAAGGCGTATATCCGCGAATCGTATTGGCACACTTTAAGTCTGCTGTGATTGGTTGGTGAATTCCTCAAGGTTAAGCTTTGTTATTGGGTGTTTTTTTCTCATGACATCGATTCGGGACGCAAACAACCTTTTTGAAGTGAGTTGTTGTCTACAATTTTGGCTTGTTCACAGCCAGCTCTCACCATAAAGTGAACATTACTGTTTGTCCAGTATGTCTGAATTTTTTTGCTCTGATTTACGCCTTTTCTACCACTCTTATTTTATATTCTTTGTTACAGGATTTTATCATGAGCTGATGTCGGTAAGAGAACCATTGGAAAACCTGCACTGGAGTACTAGACAGCCAGCAGTTTCGTCAGTCTAGTTTGGGCTTTTCACCAGTACGCACCAACCACAGGGGTTCGAACCCAGTACCTCAGGTTACAAGTTAGCTCGTAGACCATTAAACCACTGGGACCCGATCCAATGGCCAGCCAGCCCATGAATTCTAACTTCTGTCAATTCACGACATACCGCTACTGCTAGTCAATGTCATTCATTGCTGGTGAGTATTTGTCCTCACACCGACCTGCTGCACCCTCCACTGGTCACGACTTCCCATTTGCTCGCATTGGAAACAAAGGTTCTGAATTAGAACCCCGGTGGGTGCGTACTCATGAAGAGTCTCTAACTAGGCTGACGAAACAGCTAGCTGTCCAGTACTCCCTGTTGATTTTGCAGTGGTTCTCTAACTAATGTCAGCTTATGATGAGATCCTGTAACCAATCAATCAAATCTCTACAAATCAATACTTGAAGCCATTATTATATTAATAATCCTTATTATGTGGATAATGTTAATAATAATTTATCTTTTATTTTATAAAACTCAGTTCAGATTGTTATGGATCTTCAGGAATAATTCAACAACTTCATCAAAATCCATCATTGTTATTAGAGATTTTGAACGACCAGGTCAACATTCAGAAACAAGTGGTATAGTGAAAACACCAATGGAAAAGTGTATATACACAACGAATGTAACACTGCCAACAACTACAATAACGAATAGTGTAAATAGCAGTTCAGCTACAAATAACGCCACAATTACTGTGCCTTCTTCTGCTGCGTCCACTACGATGAATACAATAGTCACGTACAAAAATGATAAACAGGTAGTAATCATGTTTAAAATAATTTGTGTATATTATACTATCTTTAAATTATTATTATTATTATTTTGGACTTGTGTTTGTAACTATGTTATTCTTGTGATAAGGTATACAAAAAGGATTAAATCTTGGTACTTTGATAAGTTGGTGGTTCGGTTTTTGTAGCATGGTCATTAACCACTCATCAAGGTCCTTCCCCCCTAGTTCCTTGAATAACGGATTCGTAAACCTCGTCTACTTTACTCACCGATAGTAAATGGGATTTAAAGAGGAATGATTGGGCGTGAGGCTAACAAAATCCTACCGTACAAACAAACAACACTACCACTAGTGAAATTACAAGAAAGCATGGAGGCCTGTATTCTACTCGAAATGCAAAAAGAATGGATAATCGTCGTTAGAAAAAGGCTAACGTGAAACAACTTTTGTTACTTTCGTACTGTTGAAGGCGTTATACAGTAGGCTGGTCAGTATTCAGGTAGTTTTTAAGATGGCACATTAGTCTAACTAGGAAGTGCTTCCCTCAAATCAAATTAGAAAATTGCTGCATATCCTTAATTTTGACTAAAGTTTTGTCAATCCCTTTAGAATATCATAAAATTGTTAGCATTGATAAATTTGAATAAGATAAGAAAGACAAATTATTACTAACAACAATAAACATAATGTGCTAAATGTCAAGATAGCTAAGATCCTGAATCTATCGCTGATCTCAGAAGACTACGCCTAACCCATCAAATACCATGCAGAGTAACCAACGCGGAGTAACAGAAAACGGAAGAACAATATAATCGCCTATTCCTCCACCGATTACGAGACATGATTACTATGTTACACATTACTATGCGAAAAATCTGTGAATAAATGTTAATAAAATGTACACTAATACTTCTGATGCTATTTCTCCAGTCCTCTGTCAACTAGCTTAAGATAAAACAACGAAAGCAATTGTTGTCTCCCACCATATGGAGACCAGTCCGAATAAACAAAACATTCAATGTTCACCAACATTAAATACAAAGAATAAAAATGTTTTGAGAAGAAAAGTTCGGTTTACGCTAATTGTATTTATGTCATTTTATTTGAGCATAAATGAGCAGCTTTGGGTTTTAAGTAAGATTATTCGAGGCTGTACCAAAACATCACCGTCGTTTCACATATCGTCTCATAGCTAATGCTTAGTGTGCACCCTTTTTCAGCCGAACTAACGTATCACTTACTGATTTTGTTAGACTGTTTCCAAAATAAAAACTAGTACGTTTTCAAAGACACGTAGGCATTATTTACATAGCACAAATGGCAATTTCACTTGCTTACCCGTATACTACTTACAAAATACGAGTAGAATAGTCACATCTGCCTGAAAATGAAACAATGCAATCTTATTCACCTGCAAACAAAAGTTTATGGCTTAATTTGTTTTGTCCATTAAATCTAATCTTGTAGTCGATAGCTTTTATATATAGGTGTTTTGATAAAATCTCATACAAAGAGTTGATCGTTTCAATGGGAAGATCAACTATTGGGATATATCCCCAAAAACCTTCATAAAACCTGGGTTCAACACAACAACACTTGGAAATTGATTTCCTACGAACAGGCTACGTATAAATGCTTTAAATTTTCAATAGTTTTCCTTACTGTTCATATTCAATTTTATGTGCGACCAGAGTTCGCAGTCAGCTAGGTGACATTGTGGTCTTGGTGTCTGTCTTAAATAATTAATAATACATTTGGTAACTTGAAGTAACAGTTATTATTGTTCCCTTGGGTTCCGAGTGGAACATAAGGCTTTAACACACCTATCTACACTTTGTTCTATTCTCTGTGGTCCCATTAGCTGGTCCCACGATTGCCGATTATCTCTGATGTCTTCTTTGGATGATCTCCTCTATTTTACTCACGATTGACCCACTCATTGTTTCCAATCGGTGTTCCACTTGATCAATGGCCTGGTGTTAGATGTCATTCAAAGTTCTCCTCAGAGTGTGCAAAATCCATCTACACTTTCTTCTGCATATGTATTGAGTAATAATAGGTTGTCGGTTATTTAGTTTCTAGAGTTTCATGTTACTAATTCTTTCTGGCCAGTAAGCCATTGTATTTTCAATATAGAGTCAGCGAAGCAAGCAGCTGTTTATAAAGGTATGAACACTGGCCTGTTGGAAATGCTTTTTGTGATGGGCAGTGCAAGTTCCTGACCCATATAGAAAACTTTACTAACTAACATTGTTGTTGAAAAGAATCCGAATTTTGTTGTTGTGTATGATGAGGTGGAGTGGGGAAGATTTCCAAAGTGATGAATTTCTTTGTGTTGCCTGATCTTCATTCATGCTTACTTGTGTAGTTAGTTGTGAAAGGATGCTGCTTAACCAGATAGAGAAAGTGACGTCTTTCGAATTTCCTCCATTGGTATTGATTAAGGCTTCTTAATGTTGTTATTGATTGCGGTGATCGATTGTCTTTCTTTATCACCTCCTTCTTCTCTAGGCTCAATTGAATCGCTGCACTGATTCCTTTGCCAGTTTATTAGTTTTCGCCAGTAGGTCTTTAATTCTGTGTGAATTGGACATAAATCATCCACGAATTAATTAACAAGATTACATTTCTCATCCCATTTGCAATTTGCTCAGCTTTGCTAGTCTCACGCATGGTGTGGACGTTCCATGTCCCATTCAGACTTTAAGTTTTGTTGCAAGGAAACTCATCGTACTGGAGTTTTTATAACAGCTTTCTTTACAGGGTGGGGTTGTTAGCTTCATGCCTAAAGACGGGTTTGTTACATGAATATATATAGGTTACAGAGGATTGATATTTTGCTTTGCTTCCTTAGAATCAGGAAAATCAGGAATAAAGCAGTCAGAACACACCTACTTGGGGAGCATCGTTTCAACTACAGGCGGACGGAAGTGATGAGGATATCAAAGCGAGGATTGGGAAAGCCAGACAAGCTTTCATTACTCTTAAGACTGTGTGGTGATTAACAGCACACTCAGCATGAAAATACGATACGAATTACGAAGGCCACTTTGAACCAACTACAGGCCTGCATCAAATGCTGTCTTCGCTTACTATTCAAGATCGGATGGCCGGCGAGAAATGATCAGCAACAGGGATCTTTTGGTGTGAACCAACCAGGAACCAAGTGTGCAGCAAATATGTAGGGAGAAATGGAGGTAGATTGGAGGCTGTACTCTGAAAAAACAAACCATCAAGTGAGTGATATCACACACCAGGCCATTGCTCGAGTAGAACCCGAATAAGAAGCCGAAAGTTGGTTGGTCGTCAGTGCTAGGGTGATGTGGAGGAGGTGATGCAAAGAGGAGATGAAATCATATGGGCAAACGTGCAGCAAGGTGAAAACGTTGGCGGAGAACCAAACTCTATGGAGACGTTTGGCTAAATCCCTATGTCCCTCCAGGAGTTAAACGAAACAGTAATAATATTTTTTTTAATCAAGTATTTTGAATAGAATAACTTTAAGCTCCTATTCGCCAATGAAAGATATTCAGTATTTTGTTAAGTGTCGTCCAAGCCTCCTCTTTCTGATAAGATTACCTTGAGCTTAACAGTATTTTTGTCTATTCAGGTTTAAAGGCATCCTTTAAGTGTAATTCAGATCTATCAATACAAGTAAAATAAAATTTTAAGAAAAAACAGAATATGATCTGCAAAACACTTTACCCACTAAAAGGAACAAAAAACAGTGGCAGATGATGAATCCGGAGGTATTTCGTCATAGTTGTGGTGTTATCCTTCAGTGATTAAAACTGTGAGAACAGTTCGCACCAAAAACAAAACAAAACAACAAAAAAATAAACACCTGTTTGATCAAGAGTAGGTTTGTAGGAATTTGATTTGATCGGTTACAGGATGTCATTATGAGTTGACATTGGTTCGAGAACCATTGGACGATAATCAGCAGTTTCGTCAGCCGACTTTCCGACTGTTCATCATTATTCACCTACCAGGGTTTCTCAATGGTTCTTTAACTAACGTCAGCTAATAATGAAATTCTAAAAATAACTATTTGGTGCTAGTTAGTTTTTTATCAGTGTAATTTCATACTACTGTCTTGTATAGTAATGACCGGATGATGTATGTATCCTACAATAATAGTTTCTTTCCAATAATATAACGGTAAACCGTGAAGAAATTGTAGAGACTACCTTGTGGCGTAACAGCACACTTGTTTCTACTATTACACAATCGTTTATTTCAAGAAACAACTAAAAATGGGAAATATTTTCTACTATACTCTACTCTAATAAACTACACTTATAACAACAGAAGACAAGCGTCACGCAACAGATCGTTTAACTGAGGAAATCACCAGATATTCATAGATTTTTATGTACCATTATTACAGGTTATTGTTAGCAGAGAAACAGTGTCTTCTGATTGGTTGCTCTCTCGCTGAAAGTTAATCTTTCATCTCTTTAAGGCCGTTTCTTTGAAGGTCAGACCGTATATCTATCCACGTAAGGTGTGTTATGATTGGTTGTTGAGTTAGTCTTTTCTCTTGCTTTATATTCTCACGACCAAGATCTGGGACGTAAACATTGACGTCGGTGGCACAGTGGTTAGGACTCTCGCCGACCATGCACATGGTCGTAGTTTCGATGCCCCGATATCAATGGTCGACCTGCGAAATTTGGGCTGCCGATATCCATGCTGAAAATTCCATACTTGTACCAAAAATACAGTGTGGAATCAAGCTGTAATCAAAAAATAAATAAATAAAAATAAAAATATTTCTGCTTACCAATTTTGGCTAGCAGACAGCTCTCACCACACACTTACTAGGACGCTAATTAACTGGTATCATGATCCTAGCCCTATGTTTGATGCCGACTGAATTCTGCCTGTCAAGTTTTTAATGTGTCCAACATGCTAGGCTAGGTGGATCACTATCACGGTACACTGTAAATTCTTGATATTATATGGTTACAGGAAATCGTAGGAAGGCCTTAGACACCACCTAGATTTCATACTTGTTGGCACTCACCAATAAGGTAGCAAGGCGTATCTGCAACCGCCTTGAAGGCACTCATGTCCTTCCTGATATTCGAACCCCACATCACCACGCAGTGCTGAAGTCAGCGAGAGAGAGAGAGACGGTACCACCAAGCTATTCTTTCAAAGGTGTAAATAAGCCTTACTCACTGCTGAGTGCCGACAGGCACGAAACCTGGGAAAGACAGTGCTTTCTGCTGATTGCCTTCAACCATCTAATAGAACACTAGTAAAATCAATAAAGCTTGCTTACTTATCAAACAGGCAAGTAGAACTGATCACTTAGTGATTACGTGACTTTTTCACCATTTGATATATAGAACAGTTATGTTATTGATTTTGTTGTTGTTGTCGCTAAATTCCACACTATTTATCACATTCCAGTATCCAGAAAATAGTATTCGTTTAATTCAACCGAATACCAGTCAAAAACAATTTGATTCCTCTGTCTCAGAATCTTATGATTCATCATCGTACACGTGTGATTCTTCCTCATATACTAATTCATCAACCATATCATCAACAAATTCCTCAATAAATAGTAGTAGTAGTAGTAGTACATCCACGAGTAGAACAACAAATTCAAGTATATCAGAAACACTAGTGATCATACCAAATTATCCAGTGTCTGGAATTCGTGATGAACAAAAACACCCAGCGTCAAGTACAGATGTATTTCTCTTATCTCCAACACCTTTCACGCGTAGTCCAAATATTAATAATAATAATAATAATCAACGTTCAATGAATCAATATTTGCATTCCTCCTGCTCCTCCTCCTCAGAATCTCAAACTCATTCTACTCCCACTACTACTAATACTACTGATTATACGCATAATAGTAGTAGTATAAGTAATAGTAAGACAAATATCAATGTTAATCGTGAAAATGCCAATACAATACATCAAGGACAAAAAAATGGACATTATATCTCAATTATAACATCATCAATACACGAAGATAATACTTTCAAGAAGGATTCAACAATTCCTGTTTCACCACCACTACCAACAACAACAACAACAGCAACAACAATCATACGAAGTAGACTGTCGAACGCTATTGATTTCTCCTCGGGAGATTCAACCTATGCGAAAAGAAATAATAGTAATAACAATAACAATACCAGTATCAATAACTATTATAGGAATAATGCAAAAAATGTTGACTGTGTCCATAATGAGAGTGATAATGACGATGTCGACAACGAAGATGACGTCGATGTCGACGATGACGACGACGTTACAATCAATACTAACGATAAGATTAATATTAAAAGTAATAAAATCAATTATATCTATCATGATGAACCAAACAATACTAATATTATACATAAATATCATAATACATTGAATAATTCCACGGTGATTGTAACTGCCTCACCCTATAATAAGAATACCAGTAATAATAATAATAGCAGTAACCCCAGGAACAAAGTGGACGATGGTAATACTAGCGATAGTCTGTCAAAGGCGGTTAACAACAGTAGTATTAGTAATACTAGCAGTAGTTTTAGTAATCCTACTTCTTTTGGTAGTACTCAAAGTGATAATTACCGTACAGAGAAACCAAAACAGCCGGTTAATTATTATCGTACTAACTCTACGAATAGTCATCATACTAATCTTTATAATTCAAGAGGTTATAGTAACTTCCAGTTAACAATCTATAGTAATCAAAATGAGAACATCAATAGCAATGATAACAAGCAGAGAGAGTGTGTCCAAGACAGTGATGTCTCCTTCTGTGATATTATTCCAATGTCTACATCAAGTAAATCATTGAAACGATTCATTTTGTCAAGAAGTCCAGCTTGTAGTCCATCGATTGGGACAACATCGATCAGTGCACCACCATCCCCTTTAGTCACTCATAATAATAATAATAACAGCATAAATGATAAAACTATATCATTGGTTGATTCTGTACTGTTATCACCAAGTACAAATCATTTGAGTAGGATTAGTTTAGCGAATGATAAAAGCAAAACGTCACCAACAGCACCACCAACAACAACAACATCAACACCGACAACGACAACGGCAAGTCAACATCACAATGTTGTCACATCATTTTCATTACCTTCAAAGTCTTTGTTGAATGAGGATGTTGGCAATGATGATGATGGCGAGGAAGAGGATGCTGATGGTGGTGGAAGTCAATGGTCATTAAAACCATTTGCACCTTATAGTCGATTCAATACAAGTTTGAATCAACGAAGTGAATTACAATTACGACATCCAGCTACACCTCTTTTAGCTTATCAACAACACCAGCAACAACAATACCAACGAATTATTACACCAAATAGTAATAACATTATCAGAGATATTTCAACTGCAAAATCACAGAATTTTTCATCAGATGAAGAAAATAGAAATACAAGTAAGTTTTTGGATCAATTATATCTTATTTTTTAAAATTTGACTCAGGTTAATATATGAATTCAACTCTTGTCTTAAGACGGAATAAAAAAAAGGAAACAAGTTAACTATACAATAAAAAGACATAGTTTATCTGAAACGTGTAATATAATGGCGCAACACATTTCGAACATTCTTTAGATATGATAGAGAAGATTTTTAGCTGAGGTGGATGATTTTGATGTGGTTTTGTTCTCTGAGCTGAATGGTTAGTTTGCGAAGCTTTCATCACCCTACTGGGTGACATCTTCAGCGCATACTTCAATTTACTGAAGTGAGCTTTTAGATTTCTCCACGAGTTTATTAATCATCCCTCCTGGTGACCTTGGACGTGATTGCTTGCTTATGTGTGTTTTCACACCTTCTAGGTTACTTGTATTGGAACTGATTGTTTCCTTGACTTGAACTTTGACCCTTTGTGTGTGAAGTTTCTTTCTTATTGGTTGATAGATTTTGTCTATCTCGATGTGTCTATTGATTGATGATTCACTGAAATACCAGACAGGCTTCTAAAAATTCTCTAGCATTCTTGTTGTTTCCTTTGTCTAATATTTCAACGTTGTCCCAGTCGAATTGATGTCCGTGGTTGTCTGTGTGTAGTGAAATGAGGGAGTGGATATCATGTCTTTTGACGGCTAGCTTATGTTCGTGGATACGAAGACGAAGGGGACGTCCACTTTGGCCAATGTAGTGTTCTTCGCAGTTGTTACAGTTTATTTTGTAGATGATGTTGGTTTTATCTTCTTTCGCTGTTGAGTCTTTTGGTTGACATAGAATTGATTGAAGCGACTTTGTTGGTTTGTGTACGACGTCAATTCCTAAAGGTTTGAAGAGTCTTGTAGTGATTTCTGACATATCCTTTATGTATGGTAAGGCGATTTTCTTTGTGCTTTCCTTGGTGGACTTTGGTTTGATAGGTTGGCTTGGAGGTATATGTCTCTTGATGAAATCCCGTGGATATCCATTCTTTTGGAAGACGTCCATGAGATACTTTTCTTCAATTTTCCTTAAGGTGGGAGTGCTGCAGTGAGTCCTTGCTCTCTTGAATAGTGTTTGTATGCAATTCCTTTTGTGTGTTATTGGGTTGTTGCTGTTATAATTCAGTCTTCAACGACATCAAATTCACAAGAGAAGAGGAATCCGAGAACAAAATACAATTTTTGGATATCTTAGTCAGGCGAACAACTACAGGAGAATTAGAAACCTAAGTTTATAGAAAGTCAACTCACACAGATCAAATCCTGAAATACAACAGCAACAACCCAATAACACACAAAAGGAATTGCATACAAACACTATTCAAGAGAGCAAGGACTCACTGCAGCACTCCCACCTTAAGGAAAATTGAAGAAAAGTATCTCATGGACGTCTTCCAAAAGAATGGATATCCACGGGATTTCATCAAGAGACATATACCTCCAAGCCAACCTATCAAACCAAAGTCCACCAAGGAAAGCACAAAGAAAATCGCCTTACCATACATAAAGGATATGTCAGAAATCACTACAAGACTCTTCAAACCTTTAGGAATTGACGCCGTACACAAACCAACAAAGTCGCTTCAATCAATTCTATGTCAACCAAAAGACACAACAGCGAAAGAAGATAAAACCAACATCATCTACAAAATAAACTGTAACAACTGCGAAGAACACTACATTGGCCAAAACTGGACGTCCCTTTCGCCTTCGTATCCACGAACATAAGCTAGCCGTCAAAAGACATGATATTCACTCCCTCATTTCACTACACACAGACAACCACGGACATCAATTCGACTGGGACAACGTTGAAATATTAGACAGAGGAAACAACAAGAATGCTAGAGAAATTATCAATTTTATCAATTTACATGTACGTGTGAAGGGAGACACGTACAGAGGGAGGATCCATCGGTCTTTGCAGGTTAGGGCTACAGAACATATTCCAAAGAAGTGGCTGCAACAACAAATAAAATCACCAGACACAACTGACCCCGGAAATAGATGTCCAACATCATTTATAGCGAAGCACATTATAGAGACGAGTCACAAGGTGTTGATTTCAACAGTGCCTTAAAGCCGATATATAAAACAAGGTTGGGCCACATACTTAAATTCATTGATGCCTTAGATATAAAAAGACTTAAACCTGTCTTATGTGTCCAAAAGTTATTTGTTATCACTTTAAACCTGCCTTGGTAATCCAAGTTAGAACGCAGGACCAATTTACTTCCCAATATTTTCAACCCCTTCCTTGCTTTGTTTTTTCTCTTTTTATATGGAGGATTTATTCATGAGCTGACATCAGTTAGAGAACCACTGGAAAACCTCTTTTTTTTCTTCTCTTTTTTTATCTTTCTTACTCACACCTTTGCGTCATCTCCCTATTCAGTTATTTGTGGCCTTGACCTGTATACAGTCTGACATGTATTGTAATTATTGATGCCTTTTTGCCTTCCATAAAAACTGTGTATGACAAGTACTCGTGATTGTGTGATCAGAATGTTCGAAATGTGTTGCGCCAATACATTACACGTTTCAGATAAACTACGTCTTCTTAATGTGTTGTCGAAACTGATAAAAGGAACTAATTGCTTTCAAAAAACAAGTTGAATCATGTTCTCTGGCAGTGTAGGATCTATGTGCTATATTCATTCATAACATAGATCAGCAAATGTGCAAAAGGAGTGAGCCGAGAAATATATTTACTTTGCAATTAGATTCTCATCTCTGGCTCTACTCTAATATACATCCATAGCATTTTTATCGCAATACACAACAATTTACCAAGTAAGTGGTGATATGTTAGTTAACAATAATTAGTCAAATTTTGTCAACAGATAGATATAAGTTAGAGGACCAGTGGAAAACCAGGGAGTGCTGAACAGCTGTTTTTTGTCCCAGTGTGGGACTCATCAGCATCCACTGGGTTTTGAACCTACAGCTCTCCACTTACAAGGCAAGCTGGCTCGTAGGCCATTCAGCTACTGACACGTGACTCGCTAGCGACCTCCTACAGGGCAGAGTTCCTGGATTTCTAGTGAGAATTCGTAATAAGTGGGGTGGGGGACACCACTAGGTCAGCAGTGATAACAAACATTCACTGATGACGATGGCTGATGGCAACTGTGGAGTTGGGTGCCAGTGACTAAATGGTCTACGAGCTAGCTTGCCTTGTAACTGGAAGTTCCTGGGTTCGAAACGCGGTAGGTGGCAAACTAGGCCGACGAAAGAGCTGTTGAGTACCAGAGTGCTGGCTTTCATTGGTTCTCTGAATGATGTCAGTCCGCTGTCCAACTTGAAATACAAATCAAATTCCTACAAAGTCTTGACAAATAATAAGTCAATATCAGCATATCAAGGGAGTGATACCTAACGAAGATAATCCATACGGACAATTAAAGGGTAGAAGTGGCTGCAATAAGTAGATTACATAATACACAGTTCTGAAGAAGAATGAAGAGTAATTAAGGGACAAGAGAGTGTTCAAGCTGATTACGTAATAGGTTATTAAAGAAAAACAAATTATTTGGATAATTCTAATTTTTAAAAGGTTTATAAGAAGATTTTTACATTCATGTAAGGATAAGGAAAGTGGCTATACGAATTTCTTCTGAACTTATTTTAAGATATACAGTGAATGTTCATTTTTTTTGTTCAACAACGAATACTACAGACAAACTGATGCTGTGTGGCTATGGGTTCTCCATTAGGTCCTGTCCTAGATGTCTTTTTCCTCTCCTCGCTTAGTTAGAGAATGGACTACTGAAAAGTGTAATCCCAATGAGTTGGAATTCTACTGTTGATATATAGGTGATACATTTCTGGTTATGCAAAACAAAAATGAAGCAATGAACACCCTCGACAATTATAATGATGTGCATTCAGCAATAAACTTCACCATAGAGGAAGAAAGTAGGGATAGTATCTTATTCCTAGACGTCTTCCTGGCAAGGAAAGAAGATGGCACACTGATAAGGAGTGTGTATATGAAACCTACAACAACTAGTCAGTACACTCGGTTTTTGGGTTTTGCACTTTTGAAATATAAACGAAAATTAGTCAGTGTTCCTCTTCAAACGGTCTTAAGCTGAATCTGTCTAAATGTCAGGTAGTCAATTTCACTTTCAAACAAAAACGTGACCTACAACAACTAGCTAGCTCACATGGCCCACTATCATAAATGGCATAGAGGTTGAAATTACATCTAATGTCAAGCACCTTGGACTGAGTATTTCCTCCGATCTTTCCTGATCCTCCTACATCTTGCTAGTTACTTACTAGAAAGATGTTTCGCTTAACGTTCTACGTTAGGAAGTTAAGGCAGTCTGGTATAAAGCAGTCTTTGCTTTCTCATTTTGTCAATTCTTGTATTCTACCCATCCCTCTTTACTGCTCCCCATTAATCTTTCCTGGACTACTTAAGAAAGACTTTGCTTTGCTGAGAAAGGCAGGCACTAAAAGCCGTTAGTAGGGCAAGTGGGATATTGTTAAACCAACTGGTTAACACTATTGTGGATAGACATATAATGCCATGTAAGAAACTAGCGAAACCAAAATATTGTCAGACCCCGAGCATCCTCTCTATACACTGCTCTCTCCTTACATTTCATCTGGTAGAACTAGAAGCAGTTATAGGCGGCTATATGCTAGGACTACCAAATACAAAAACTCCACAATACCATATCTGGCACAGCTGTTATGTGATGAGAAATCCGTTAGGTGTGATACGATCAACTTACTGTGGCACTCTAACAAATAGTCCCATTAGTTTTTGTTTTCCTTTCTTCGTTACTATTATATTGTTGTTCATATCTTCTATTACACACCAACTTTATATTCCATATCCTGTGGTGCATTGTTTAAGATGTAAACGCAACGCTGTTCTTTTTATTTCTTTTTCTTTTTTTTTGGGTGTTGCTTTTTGATTTTAAAATGTTATAAAATTTATGAAGTAATTAGATACAATATATTGTAATGCACGCTGAAAATTCCATACCTGTACCACAAATACCGTTTGGAATACAGCTGTGATTATTATTATTATTAAAATTGAGTAAAGTGTCTGATTCACAGAGCTGGGATAAAATCTGTGAAAAAGTCTCCTCCTTCAATGAGGAGCTTAAAATTATTAGAGAATTAATAAATAAAAAAATGGTTATCCAGATAAGTTCATTGAGGAAAAAACATGATTTTACTACCAAAACCAGTCAGTCGAGCGGGCAACAGCTCCAAAAAAACCATTGTTCAAAAAACTATACTTCCTTGGTGATAATATTAGCGAAATAGTAACCTAGAGTCTGAAAAATGCTGTTAAAAGAGCTTTCAAGAGGCCGACTGCATAAGATAACTAGGGCTGCAACTCAGCTAGACATCTTTTAACTCTTTGTGATATGAACACTTTCAATATCTCTTTGTTTACCTGACAATATAGAAAAAAATCTCATTTCAGATTATATTTCTGAGTAATCACATTCAAAATAAATAACCAGATATTGTGATTAACGAACATGACGAAACAATCAAGAACTTATTGCTTAACAAATATGCAGAAAAAATTGGAAGCGGATTGGGCATACATGATTGAGGAGACCGTTGAATGAAATGGTGCGTCAGGTAATAAATCAATTGAAATCCCAGTGGGAGGCGACGATTGGAGCATCAGTGAGAGGATGACATTGAGGAGATCATTTAAGGAGGAGATAGGAGGTTATGAGCAATCGTGGGTACAGGTGAAGAGGACAACAGGAAAAGTAAAAAGTGTAGGTGTGTTGCTGAAGCCGTATGTCCTACTCGGAACCTAAGGGGAACCTAAGGGTAAACGTGTCCCTCTTTGTCAATCTCATTCAACAGCTGGCTATAGAACAATACCACGTGTCACGTGATCCATAATGGAAAACTCAGTGAGCCTTTCGAAGAGCATACAGGAGTAAGACAAGCTGGCAAGCTGCCTATTATCCCCGACGACGATATTCCTCATTGTGGTGACTGGATTGTGCATCAGATTGTTGTCGACGAGGAGTCAGGAATACATTGGACTACTGATAAGAAGACTCTACAGACTTCAGATTTCGCAGATGATACATTTCTGATGTCACACAAATTCGAAGAGTTACAAATGAAAACTAAAAAAAATTAGCTGAAGACGTAGAGAAGACAGGACTGCAGGTGAACACACAGAGAAGACGGAGGTGATGAAGATAACCACTCAACAGCAACAACAACAACAACCAGCAGCAACCACCGTCAATGGGAGAAGCATCGTCTTAACTACAGACGGAACGGACGAAGATGTCAAAGTCAGAATCAGAAAGGCAAAATACGCCTTCTGCGCTCAGTCAGCATAAGGAACATGATTCAGATTTTCGACACCTATGTCAAGTCAGTTCTTCTATATGGTTCAGAAACTTGCACTGCAAATCACCAAAAGGATTTCCAACAGGCCACTGCAAACTTTTATTAAACAGCTGCCTTCGCAGGCTCCATACTGAAGATCAAGTGGCCAGAAAGAATAGGCAACAAGAAATTATGCGAACAAGACAGCCAAGAGCCGATCACTCAACAAATGTGTAGGAGAAAGTTAAGATTGATCAGGCTTACACTGATCAGGGCCACCGAATTACATCACACTCCAGGCCATCGACTGTAATCCCAATGAGAAGGGTGAGTGGATCGTTGCTGAGGGGGGGGAGTGACATGGAGGAGACTGTGTAAGGAATAAAATGAGAGATTATGAGGAACTGTGGACCCAGCCAGCTGAAGAGGACCGCAGAAAACAGAACAAAGTAGAAATGTATTTTTTAAGCTCTAAATACAAACAAAGGACTGAAGTCAAAACTTTCTAGGTGTTTTTTGGAGAAGCGGTTGGGTTGGAATTCAATAAAAATATTAAGAAGTTGCATTTTCTTAAATTTCAGTGGATTATTTATGTATATGTTTGTTATAATCCCTTTCTCATGTCATATTTACCAGGTTACTGGAACTCAAATCTATATAAAAGTGATCGAGCTCCATTAGTACTTCCAAAGCCTGGATTTTGGACACCAGATGTTAGAAGTTCCCGTAAAGCCTTTAATATACATGAAGGTGATTCAAGGACTAAAGTTTGTCGATGGTTTGAAAAATATGAAGCTTCACGACTACTTATTGATTTTGGATTACCAATAACTGGATTCAGTCCAAATTTATCCTCGCTAGCATTTTCACAAGTACCTGAATGGTTTCATGGTGAGTGAGATCTTCACAAATAAGAATATGTGTTATATATGTAGCCAAACCAAGTTCACTTTTAACAGTTTGAGAAAATTTGGGCATTCGGTATATGATATTCATTATTATTATTTCCTTTAATTACTAGAGGAATATAGAACTTCAGCCGCGCGTGTCCATCGCGTTCGTTTCTCTGCTAACGTTTTCACCTGGCTCCAAGTCTGTCCTCATGCATTCATCTCCTCTTCATATGACCTCCTCCAAGTCACCCTTGCACTGACAACCAAGTGACTTGCCGCTTTCTTTTCGGGTTCAACTCGAGGACTTGTCTAGTGATGTTACTTGATGGTTTCCTCAGAGTATGGCCAGTCCATCTCCATTTCTCCCTGCCTATTTGTTGCACAGTCAGTTACTGTATGATTCGCTCCCAGAGATGGCTCCCTGTTGCTGATCTCTCTGGCCAGCCATCTGATCTTGAGGAGTATTGAGCGAAAACGGCTGTTGATGAAGGTCTGTAGTTTGTTTGAGATGCTCTTTATGATGCGCCGGCCAAGTCTCTGATCCGTATAGTAAGTAGCACTGACTGACTTTACATTGGAGTTGAAAATCCGGATCTTATTTTTGATGGTGAGTGCTGTTGACCTCCACAAAGACTTCAGAGTAACGAAGTTTTGTCTTGCTTTTCCAATTCTTGTTTTGATATCCTCGTCAGTTCCGTCCGCCTGTAGTTGAAACGATGCTTCCCAGGTAGGTAGGTAGGTAGGTAGGTAAAAGAGGTTGTTTCTTTCAGGTTCTTCCCATTTATGCTGGCTGATTGTTGTCTGTTGTTGTTGTTGCTGTTGGCCAGAATTCTTCATCACCTCTGTTTTCTCTGTGTTCACCTGAAGTTGCTCCTATCTTTGATGCTTCTTCTGCCAACTTGTTGCTTCTCACTTGCATATTTCCGGTTTGTGGGAAATCAGACGTATATATTCATTATAATAAATGTTTTTTTGTATTTCCCAATGAATGAAAAACAAAACGATATGGTTTTTCATTTTTTATTGAGAAGGAATTGGGAGGGGGGTGGAGGGCGGTTCATTCTTAAGTTATCATGCATATAATGGGTACAGACGTTTTGATAAGTAATTTATTAGAGCTGTTAATGAAATAGGTGGAAAGTTCGGACATATAAATATAATAAAAAAGGAACCAAATCTAATAATGTAAATAGGGATTTAAAAAGGTAAAAATAAAACAAACAAATGGTAAGGTTGAACAAAAAACGTAAAAGGATAATCATAATTGCTGAGACTGACTTTTCATGATTGCGACGGTAAGGACAACGATTGAACGTATTTCCTTTGGACACATAGAATAAGCTTGAGTTTTTCGATCACCAGTCCTTCAGCTATTCCTAGATGTCTTGATTTCACTCCCTTTGGTAGATTGAATCGATCCTGTATGTGACTTTGAAAGACTTTTCAAATCCAGCTGAATGTCCAGAATTCATCATATGTTCCGTTATCGAACTGTCTACCCCTTTGCTAACCATGCCGGATAGTGTTTCCGCGCGCGTTTTACAAGCGGACGCATGGTACGGTCAATGTACTCAGCTCTACACGAGCAAGTGAAATTGTCTATGCATGATGAAGTGGTCCAATGAGACAGCTTGTGTTTCACGTGTTGAATGAGTAGTTTCTTGCAGGAGAATGTTATTCGTAGGTTGTCGGAGAAGTATGTTTTCCGGAGAGACTTAGAAAGCCGTCTTTGGAGAATTTCTGCCTTGGTATCACTTTTACATTTGAGGTTCAATATCGGCATCCTTTTAGGGGTGACTTGGTCCTTTTTTCAGGTGTTTTCCTCGGTTTTAGATTCTTATCTATGAATCTGGGTGGCAATCCATTTTCTACAAAGGTCTCTCGGATATTCTGTAATTCTTCATCGTTTGACTCTTCAGTGCAAATCTTCGGGATCCTCAAGGGAAGAGAGTATATTTGGCTTCTCTTTTTACTAAGACATGCACGATATGGGAAGATAATAAACTGTCCGTTCCATGTGAGCTTTCTGTAGATGGATCTTCTTAGCGAGTTGTTTATTTTTATATGTTCGGACTTTTACCTATTTCATAAATACTACATTCTTAACCCGTTATTAGAGATATGTAATAACTCAATATTCTCTGGTCTCATCGTTTGGAACTCTTCAGCACTCTTGGATCCCACCAAATACTAAAACTAGGAATCTTCAGGTTGTGAGGCCAAGCTAATTGACCATTCAGGCACTTAGGCCGAAATGCATTGACTGGTGAATTCTAACTCGTTTTCAAGCTTGATTCTTGGTGTGATCATAGATATGCCTTTCTGAAGCATATAAAGTAGCATGAAACAGCTGTCTAGTGCTCCTACTGGTTCTCGATGGTTCGATTTAACTGGCGTTTATTTGTGAAGAAATTAATCTAAGTTCCCATCCTCCCCGTCAAAAAGCCACTGTCGAAATATCTCTGTTTAATTATGACTGTCACTTTTATCTTTCTACTGACTTATTATTGTGGAGACTTATATTTACTCACTGTCTTCACAATATCAGATAATATGTTTCGACTTTTGATAACTTACTGTCTTCTCACTTAACGCTGATTTGATTATTATGTTTCTTTATGTTATGACCTCGTCGCTAACTGACATAATCGCGTCGATAGTTGACATGATGGAGTGAACTTATGTGTGGGTATAATAGAACTGATGCAATAGGCAACTCAACCGATGTGCTAAATTTGCCTATTTGTTCGTGGTGGTACCTTCTGCTTCATTGAGCCATGTAAAATATCAAAATACAAAGACTTACACGTGACTGTTATGAGGAGGCGACTTCTTATGAGGAAACCACATTACAACCACATTACAATCGGCCTGGGGAAGTGGAAAGAGGACTGTTCTGATTGGTAGGCGCTTTGGCTAGGTCGGCAAAAACCGAATGTTCTGATTGGTTGGCAATTTGACCAAGACCAAGGTGTGAAAAAGATGATGAAATTTTACAGTTATCCGATCATACGACGATGAGATCTAGTTTAAGCTGATTCCTGTCACTTTATTTGCTTTGCCATTTTTATCTTACATCATATTATGCCATTTGACGTTTACATTCTCAGATTCTTATGATTTCCATCTGATTAGCTCTAACAAGTATAAAGATTTTCAGTACGTCGCTTTGAATTGTTTCACTGTAATACCAAGTTACATGTTATTTTGTATCGAGGGTGGAGACTTTCTAATGGAAATCAATGAAATGAGCTAACATTAATTAAGTGTTCAAAGCTGACACCTTCCTTCTAAGCCTCAAAAACAGACAACAATCAGTTTTATACGAAATAAGCAATCTCTCCAATATTCAAGTATTGATTTTCAGAAATTCGATTGGTTACAGGATTTCATCATAAGCCGACATCGATCGGAGGACCATTGGAAAACCAAGACTGGAGTACTAGACAGCTGCTTTGTCAGCCTAGTTTGAGACACTTGATCAGTATGTAGTAATCTGAGTTTTAGTGAAAAGTCGTGACCAGTGGGGCACAGTAAGTCAGGGTATGAGGACAAAATATTCAAGCTATGTTGTGAATTATCAGCAGTTGGAATTCCTGGACAATTGGATCTGTCCCTAGTTGCTGACTGGTGTACACACAAGCTTGACTTGTAATCGGGAGGTCATAGGTTTGAACCCTGGTAGTGGGGTGGGTGATTACCCTAAATAAATTTGAAATTAGACTGACTGAAAAGCTATCCAGTACCTTCAGTTATTCCAATGGTTCTCTGACCTATGTCAGCTCATGACGAAATCCTGTAACCTGTCTATCCAATAGTTTCAAGTAGTGAATACTTTTAGTAGAGATTAGTTTAGAGAGAAAAGCAGTAGGTATTTTCACATGGATGTAGCTCTAATTTCTGTCCTGCTGAATAGAAAATATTTCACAATACTCTGTGTATTTGGACCCTAAGACGTAATAAATTTCATCTTAAGCAGAGATATGTAGAAATATCTAAGATAAAATGAATACTGACTTACACAGCAAGTGAGTTTTCACGTTGTTGTTGTTCTTCCACGTAATTTATCTAATATTGACAGAATGTCATTCATTTTACTTTATGTATAAACAGACTGTGCTTTAAATGTAGACAAAATCCAGCAACGGATTTTGAACCTCTAACTTCAACGTTCAGTGTCGGTGGTTCACCAGTAGAACGTTCTCCAACTACTCAATTGGTCTGGGGATAGATGCTCGCCTGAGGTGCTCCTAAACCTTGCTAAGCGGGTAAATTATTATTATTATTGCTCCCTCGGGTTCCTAGTGGAACATAGGGCTTCAACTGCACGTCTCCACTTGTTTCTGTCCTCTGCTGTGCTTTTCACCTGCATCCATCTTAGTCCATACTCTTTCAACTCCTCTTCACACGATCCCCTTCATGTCACCCTTGCACTGACAGTCCCACTAGCCTTTTCCCTTTTGGGTTCCACTCGAGCACTGGCCTGACGCGTGATGTCACCCAGCGGCCTACTCAGTGAGTGTTCAATCCATCTCCACTTTCTCCTGCATACTTGTTGGTTGGTGATTGGTTCTTGTTTTGTTTGTTCCCATAGGTTCTTGTTGGTGATTCTTCCCAGCCCGGTCATCTGATCTTCAGAATAGAGCCAGCGAAGACAGTTGTTGGTTGATAAAGGTAACGTCTACAACAGGCTGTTGGAAATATTCTTTGTGACCCACCCGCCTGACAAGTTTCTGATCCGTATAGGAGAACTGACTGACTTGACGTGTTTGTATTGAAAATCCGACCGAATTTTGTTGTTGATTCTGGCTGAGTGACGAAGATTTCCAGATTAGTTTCAGGTGGATGAATGTGTTTCTCGCCTTCCCGATTCTCGCTCGATTTGACATCCTCGTCCGTTCCGACTGCCTGTAGTTGATACAATGCTCCCTAGATGATAAGTGAATGAAGTAACCTCTTTCAAATCCCTCCCGTTGATGGTGATTGGCGCTGGAAGTTGCTGCTGCTGTTGTTGTTGTTGGTTGGTTGGTTATTTTCATAACCTCCGTCTTGTCTATGTTCACCTGGAGTCCTGTCTTCGCCGGCTGGTGCTTCGACTAGTTTGTCGGTTTTCGCTTGTAAATCTTCGATTTTGTGTGACATGAAACATATATCATCCACGCGCGAAATCCAGGTCTTCTGGGTTCTTCACGTCGGTCGGTCCAGGATATCCCTGTCTTCTCGTTTCCCACTCACTATCTGACGCATAATCCAGTCCACCATCTCGCCTAGATTACTAGCTCGCTAGTTTTCTAGCCGATCGCAAGCCCGGATAAAGAGGGAGGGATGGGGTGCAGTGCTAGCAACTCTACCCCCTAAACTTAACAAATATTTATATCAACATTTTATTTTTTTATATGCCTGTAACTCTATTCACCCCTTTTTGCAGGAATACTTTCTCGAGAACAGGCGGAACGCTTATTAACTCAAACCGATAGAAGAGGCAGTTTCCTTCTACACTTGAATGAATCATTTCCAGGCTATGTGATAAGTGTATATACCTCCTCCGCCTATTGTGATCATTTCCTCGTATCGGTGATTGCAACACAACAACAGACAAATAACAGTAATAATAATAATACTAATCAGACGTCCAATCGTGCTTTCACTAAAAGTACATATCAACTGTTTGGTATTGCTAATCCAGAACAATTCACCGATTTAAGAGATTTAGTAAAGTATTATTCTGTGAGTACAATTCCTTTTTTTGTGTGTACTGAATGATGAGTAACTGTTTTTTTTACTATTGACGATGGTGAATACTAAAACCTCGTCACTATGGTTTCTGATAAATCTGCTTTTCATTGTCACAACCCTATTTGCTCCTTTTGAGGAACTTTCTTTAATATATTACATATTCCCATAGTAAAATTTAGAACAACACATTTAAGCAAACAGTGATATTGAGCTTTCACTCAGATCTCATCAGGCTTAACTCTAATACACCTACATAATTTTACAAATACAAATATAAACCAATCATGGTGCTTCGTCTATAGGATAATAAGATGGTGAATATAAATTGTGTAATTAATTATAATAGTAATAGTAATAATAATAATGGTGGCCTTATCGATAACAAGGATGAAAAAGTGAGGCAATCTGTGATAAAACGAATAATGAAAAACACCATGATTAAACAAACAAATGTTCAGGTAGACGTGGTAGTCGATAAAGGCTAGTATAAACAAATGAACCGAGTAGTTTCATAATTAAACATATGAAAACATCTGAGATAAAACTTAAGACCTCTATTTATTAAGTTACAATTTAATGGTGTCTTATTAAGCGAGATTTTATTCCACAGACTTCCCAATAGTATACGAAGAACTTTTTACGCAGCATACCTATGTTTGTCATTCTCTAGCCAACGAATGATTGGGACACAAACGAAGGATAAGCTTGATAGTTTTGCCATACATCTATGTGTATTTATCAGTTCAACTGCATCTGCGGTGACAGTTATGTTGGGCGCACTACTGAACAGCTTAGCCAATAAACGTGTTACTGAACATCTATCATCGTGGTTTGGCAAAGGAGAGACAAAAACAATCCTGAACTCTGTTTTGTCTCATTTAGTGGAGGAAATGAAAGCATTCAAGGTGGTTCATCGCATCCCACTGAATATTGCTAATAGACTTCTTATTCGTTGACTGTATATAGCTGAGGCGATAGGCATTCGAACTATTAAGCCTAAACTAGGCATTCAAAAGAAGTTCGTACAGCCATTATCCCTCCCTTGTTGGTCTATGAAGACCTAACCAACTGATGGCTTCTCCACCACCCTTCACTTATATTTTCAACCCCTCTCTTATCATCCCTTAATCTTATCAGGTATTCATTGAAAACCTGTTTCATTCAGTTCCCTTACAATCTGACATTACTTAATCGGTTCATTTGTTTTTACTAGCCTTTATCGACTACCACGTCTACCTGAACATTTGTTTGTTTAATCATGGTGTTTTTCATTATTCGAGTTATCACAGATTGCCTCACTTTTTCATCCTTATTATTGATAAGACCATTATTATTAGCATTACTACTATTATTGTGGTGAGAGCAGGCTGCTACCCAATTGGTAGACATTAATCTACGTCATTGTCTAGGTCACTAATATTTTCCGTGAGAAAATATGAGCAAGGCTGATTCGACAACCAATCACAGCAAACTTAACGTGGGCAAATATGATTCGCAGATCGATGACTCCACTTGACCATGGTTACCCGAAACAACCAATCAGAAGCCTGCGTTTGTCTACTTGAATAAGATATAATAATATACAGGAAATATACATAAATACGTGTTGATTTCCGTAATAAAACGATCTGTTGCCGGTCCTTGTCTTCTGTTGTTACATTATGACTAATTGCACAATTTATATTCACCATCTTATTATTTATAGACAAAACACCATGATTGGTTTATATTTGAATTTTTATTTGTAAAGTTATGTATATTAGAGTTGAAAGCACAATGTTGTTCGCCTAAATTTGTTGAACTTTATTTATCAAGGGAGGAAGGAAGATTAACTTCAAAGGGGTGTTTCTTATCGGAATTCTGAACATCCTCTTGATGCATAGTAGTCAAGTAAAGCACAAACAAAATTTTATTCACAGAGCTATTCTATCGCATCTTGTGGATACAGAACATAAGACTGATGTTAACGAGGCTGCTTTCAAAGTCATTCACTACATGCCAACAAATCCGAACTTCACTTTAAGAGTTCGTTTACTAAATATTGCTGAGGCTTGCTGTTGGGATCCATATTAAGAAGCCTAATTTATGTATCTAAAAGCAGGAGCTAGTTCCGACATTGTTCTTACCTTGGCCATCTAGGTTCGAATGATCCTCAGTTTTGTAGAGAATATGCTCTACAGAGAAATTAAAAGAGCAAATTGTGATTCGCGAAAAGATGTTGGAAAACAACGGTTACTCTCAGAGATTCACTAACAAATATGGAAGGTGTGAAGGCTCAAACATCAAACAAATCACAGTGGGAAAAACGTTTGTCTTCATTCAACGAGATTTTAAAGGTGAAAAAATATTTCAGGAATAGTTTACAGAGGATTGAGTACGTCACTAGCCAGATCCTTTCCTGCAGCTAAGCTGATTCCCGTCAATCGAAAAACGTTCTCTTTTGTGCAATCGAAAGTCGACATATACCTTCTCATGTCACCTCTAACTGTGCATAAAAATTTACATGTATCCGAGGGAACAGTTACATTAGGAGAAGGAAACGGGCACACTTTCGATTTTGTGAATATGTAACAAAAAGTCTACATCTTAAGGGAACAAATGCTTCCAACAGTGCAACTGCTAGTCATCGCGTGGATATGGGTCGTGTGATAGACGTCGCAACATCCTTTAGAATTATCATTACACAAAAGTGCTCTATTCTCCTCAAGTTTGCTAAAGTAATATCTTTCAGACGTCCGAAGCCTGATTTATCAATCTTTCCTTGCTCTGGTAACCGGATGTCTTTATTCCCTATTTCATTTCGTTGCGTTATGCTGAAAATTTCTATTCAGTATGATTATTATTATGTCTAAAAGTTTGAGCACGGATTGATATCAGTTAGAGAACCATTAAAAAACCAGCTAGGGAATACTGGACAGCTGTTTCATCTCAGTTTGAAAATCATCAGCAGTACGAACCCACCCACCATCAGGGTGTCGAACCCAGGACCTTCCGGTTACAACGCAAGCTAGCCCGTATACCATTCAGTCAATGGAACCCAATTCAATGGCCAGCTCATGAATCGTAACTTCTACCAATTTTTTGATTTATCACGACCACCAACCAATGTCATCGGTGTGAAATCCATCCTCACACGTGAATGGTTGGACCTCATTGGTCACGACTTCTCACAAGAACTCCAGGAAACTCTATCCTGTAGCAAGTCACCAGCCAACACCATGTTGATTTTTAAGAGTTGGTTTGTAAGAATAAGATTTGTTTTTTGCCGAGTTTGACCACGGCGGGTTGATATCGGTTAGAGAAGCATTGAAAACCAGCACTGGAGTACTGCAAGACAGCTGCTTCATCCTAGTGCTGGTTTTCATTGGCTCTCTAACTGATATCAATTAGTGGTTGAACTCGTAAAAACAAATCTGATCCTTATTGTGATCATTATTACTACTATTGTGGTGAGAGCAGGCTAGCCAAAAATGGTAGACAGCATTTTACGTCAATGGGTATATCGCAAATATTGGTGGTGAGAAAATATGAGCAAGGCTGATTCGACAACCAATCACAGCAAACGTAACGTGGGCAAATATGATTCGCAGATCGATGACTCCACTTTTCCATGGTAACCCGAAACAACCAATCAGAAGCCTGCGTTTGTCTACTTGAATAAGCTATAATAATGTACATGATATATATATAAATACGTGTTGATTTCCTTAATAAATGATCTGTTGTCTGGCCCTTGTCTTCTGTTGTTACACTATTACCGTTGTATGTTTACTTCGATGGTTTTTTCTAAACTTGAACTCTCTGGGTAAGTATGTTAACATCATTTCTGTACAGAAACTTAATAGTAATGCCTCATGGCTGTCAGCAGCTGATGAGTAGCCAACGAAGCGAACAATGATGATGCCTTTTTTTTTCTTATTCTACACAAAAACTACCACTAATGTTGTTGTTGTTCATGCTTTCTTTATTCACTATATTGCTTTTTTTATTGAATTTTTTAGGTACATAGTTTAAGTCAAAGCAATAGTCAACTATTATTGGTTTATCCTGTTGGACAAGAGAATCCAGCACTTCCTGATTATTTGGATATCTTCTATTCTCGACCGGATTCGAATAGTTCAACTCGATTTTAGGCATTTTTAACATTATCCTTAATAATAGTAATCATAATCATGTTCCTACTGTGTTATGTGCCATATCGTATTTTCAAATAAGATAAAATTTTTTTATTGCTCTGCTGATTGTGATATTGGTAAAAATAGATCTACTGAAGTGTATGTTGTGTCATTCATCGCCTCAGATATCCTATTTTATCTGGTTAATATTTGATGTAGGCAGATAGTTTATTATCAGTAAGGCTTGGTATTCTCTTCAACAATATCTAACCGTTTGACAGCTTCAATCCTTCACGGCTTCAGTCAGTTTATTCTCCCTCATTTTTTTTCCCTTTCTCCGCTTTTCTTTTTTTCATGTGAAACACGAGATTAGTATGACTAACTTCCTCTTCAAAGTGAAATTTCTTGATATTTATTTTGTTTTTGGTTAGAGGATTTCATCATGACCCATTAAAAAACTAGCTGGGAGTACTGCTACCAGACAGCTGTCTGGTCAGGCTAGTTTCGGACTAACTCTTCAGCAGTGCGCACCCGCTGGGGTTCTTGTTTTGTTTGTTGTTGTATTTTTTTTGTTGCTAAAAGCTGTTTCTTTGTCTGTCTGTCTTTCTTTCTATCTGTCCGTCTGTCTGTCTGTCTATCTATCTATCAAAACTCTGCCTTAGAATTGTCAAAATAACACAGACTGTGAATAAAACGATTAAATCGTATGATTCTTGTACATTCATTTACTCCGCCTATTTTTATATAAAAAAAAACACAAATATCTACAGACTAAGGCTGTATTATACTAATCTACTATGAGATGTTATTATTACTGTCTCCTTTAGTTCCTAGAGGAATATTGGGCTTCAGCTGGACGTCTCTTGAATTGAGTTCGGTTCTCCGCCAACGTTTTCGCCAAGCTGCACATCTGCCCACATATATATATGTATGATACTTGTGGATGAATTTCCATATTTTTACCAACAAATATTTGTACAAATTTATTGATATTACTTTTTTTCTCAAATTTCCAACTGTTCTCTACTTAACCTGATACAATTATGAGTGAGTTATTGATTAGCTGGCGATTGTTATCCAGTTTATCGAAATTCTCTTAGAGATACGTTGTGTGGGTGTGTGTGTGCGTTTGTGTGTCAGTGTGTTTTTGCTTTTACATTTCATGGAGTTTAGGGGGACTTAATTAATTTTTTACGCAACAAAATATATACAACACATTGATCACCTTGAATAATTTGAGTGAGATGATATTTTAAACAAAATAAAAATGAGATAAGCGCAAATTATGTGATGGTGAAAATATTTTTCATACAACTCTCATTTTTTCTTTCGTTTTTCACTCCTTCTTCTTTTCAATATTATTGAAAATATTTTGTACAGATTACATAATAAATCTCTTAGGTATCTTGTGAAATATTATACATATATATAGACATACTTTATATTCGTATATGATAATTTCAAATAATTATTATTTGTAAATATACACACCCTTTTATATACCCATTGCTTATTTACACTGTAACAATGGAAGACACTAGCCTGGGCAACAAATTGTTTATTGATAAAATTTATAGATATTTATACATTTTTTTATGTACTTTATTGTCCGCAGAGAAGCAACGCGTTTTCTGATTGACTGTTTTCTGGTTGAAGGTTATTCTGTTCTACATATGACCGTTTCTCAGAAAGTAAAGCCATAAATCTGCGAATCATATTTGCACACGTTAAGTCTGCTGTGATTGGTTGTTGAGTTCCTCAAGGTTAAGCTTTTTTAGTGAGTTTTTTTATCGAATGACCATGATTCCGGAGGTAACACTGACGTAAATTGTTGTTGGCTTGTTCACAGCCAGTTTTCGCCATAATACTTGTCTGTGTGTGTGTGTGTTTCGGGGGGGGGGTGTATGGATGTGTGAGTTTAGTTTACCTGGACTGATCGATAAGAAGACTCTAGAAGATCTGGATTTCGCCTGTGGATTATTTATGTTTTCAATATCACACAAACTCGTAGATCTACAGGGAGAAAAACCAACAAACTAATAGAAGAAGTAGTGCGGCAAAGACAAGATTTCAGGTGAACATAGAGAAGATGGAGGTGATGACGATAGCCAACAACTTGGAAGACGTCAATTCCTCTACTTCTTTGGCCTGGCACCATCCTTTCAAGTATGGGCTGGAGACATGGATGACGATGTTGAAACCAGAATAAGAAAGGCAAAAAAGATATTCATTGGCAGAAGGAATAAGATTGGGATTCTGTTCAACACAAATGTGAAGTCAGTCAGTCAGTCAGTCACTTCTTCTACTATATGGGTCAGAAACTTGCACAGTGCATAAGTCAGGAAAAGCATTTCTAATGGTTTAGTGTAGACTTTCGTTAACAGTTGTCTTCGATGACTCCATACTGAAGATCAGGAAGAATTAGCAACAAGAAACTCTGAAAAACAAAAGTACCAAGAACCTGTCGGTCAGCAGATATGTAGTAGGAAGTGGAGATGGATTGGGCATACGCCAATGAAGAGACCGTAGAATAACATCGTCCGCAGTCCCATCACTTGGGTGGAATCTGAATGGAAAATGACGAGTTGGGCGTTGGTCCGACTGTAAAATGGAAGAGATCGTTTGAGGACGAGATGGGAGACTATGGGCAAGCATGAGGCCAGAGAACAGGAAGAAGTGAAACCGAATATTTCATTCTGAATCCAAGGGAACAATAATGAGAATAATTAATCATGTTCAGTAGGAGAATGTTAACCAGTTTGAAAATATCCTCTGAAAGATGCATTTATGTTTATGTGTTGGTTGACCAAAAATATCCACTTTCGAAGTCATTGTAAAAATTATCAGATTTCAAGAGGAGTATAGAGGATATAGTAGTCATTACGTATAAATAACATAATAGTTGGCAAAAAACTTTAGTGGATGGGGAAAATTATCCATTTTTCACGTTCTGCATTACTTCATGCAATCCAGTTCTGAATGTTGTTTGAGTTCAAGCTTGATTTTATGATAATATAGACTGCGTTCTTAGATAATGACTGCCCTGATGTTTTCTAACATTGTTATGAAAGATTAGTTGGTACACAGAATAACAATCTCGGTGGAAATTCTAAGTAAATGTTTGTTTTGTATCATTATTATTATTACCATTATTCCCTTGAGTTCCGATTGGAACATAGGGTTTCAACAAGATATCTCCACTTTCTTCTATTTTCTGTTATCCTCTTCAACTGGCTAGGCACACAGTTGACCGTAATCTTTCATCTCCCCTAACACACAATCTCCTCCATGTCACCCTCTCACTGACGATCCACTCGTCGTATCCTATTTGGGTTCCAATCAAGAGATGGCCTGATGCGCCATGTTATTCAATGGTCTCCTCATTGACGTGTGTCCCATCCAACTCCATTTTCTTCTACATATTTGTTGAACGATAGGTTCTTAGGCTGGTTTATTTATTCCCATAGTTTCTTGTTGCTATAATTCTTTCTGGCCAGCCAGCCCCTCGATCTTTTCAATATGGAGTCAGCAAAGCAGGCAGTTGTTGATAAGAGTCTGCTCAGGCCAGTTGGCTCAGTGAATCCGAAGATTTCCAAACTGGTTTCAAGTGTTGATGGATGCGTGACTTGCCTTTCTAATTCTGCCCAGGTTTGACATTCTCATCTGTGACTTCAGTCTGTAGCGCTGTCTAGATAAGTGAAGGAAGCAGGCTGTGTCAGATTTCTCCCGTTGATGCTGGTTGTTGTTGGTGGTGGTGGTGGTGATGGTTGGTTATTGGTTATCTTCATCACCTCAGTCTTCTCTATTTTCATTTAAAGTCCTATCTTCGGTGCTTCTTCAGACAGTTTGTTGGTTTTCGCCTGTAAGTCTTCGAGTTTGTGTGACATTAGATACATATATCATTTGCGAAATCCAGATCTTCTGGAGCCTCCTTATCGGTACAACGTATTTCTGTCTCCTCGCTCTCCACAGTCTTCCGCATAATCCAATCCACCATAATTAAGAATATTGTGGTGAGATCAGGCAGTGAGAAAATATGTACAAGGCTGATTCAACAACCAATCACAGCAGACTTAACGTGGCAAAATATGATTCGCAGATAGAGAACTCTATTTTTCGAGCAATCCCGAAACAACCAATAAGAAGCCTGCGTTTGTCTGCTTAACTTCTGATAAACAACCAATCAGAAGACTGCGCTTGTCTACTTGCATAAGCTATAATAATGTATGTGAAATATATATAAATACGTGTTGATTTTCGTAATAAAACGATCTGTTGCCTGGCCCCTGTCTTCTGTTGTTACAATATCATCGTCGGTGATAATAGGCAGCCAGGCTTATCTTACTCCTGTATTCAATTCAAGCATCTCATTGAGTTTTCCGTTGCGGATCAGCTGACAAATGACAGGCATTGTCATCTAGGTAGCCGTTGAGTGAATTTGATGAAGACTTGGGTACAACACGGCGTAGTGTTGAAGCAGTTTCCAAATTACTTCTCGGTCAACACTGTTGAAGTCGATGAAGTTGAGGTAGGGAGACGTTTGACTTAAAAAAGGGCTAAATTTCAACGTAACAGTTAATAAATAAAAACCAGAGGCTGTCATTCCTAGCATAGAAGTAGCACTAGGTTCAATAGATAAGACAACAGCAGAAGAGGTCCGAGCACAATGTGCATTAACCCTGAAAAATCAAAAGAAGGCAAAATCAAACTTAACAAAATCGGAGAGAGAAGCTTTAATTAGTCCAAAACAGGACAGAAATATTGTCATCGCAAAAGCCGACAAAGGAAACGCCACCGTAGTTCTGAATAAATCTGACTATATACAAAAATTTACTGAACATATTCAAACGGGTCCATATAAAGAAATTAAGTAGCCTGTAGATACAATAATGAATAAGGTTAAGAAATCTACAGCAGAACTAATACGCAGAATGAAGATGTCACTGGGTGAGTCTAAATGGTTTAATTTAATGCCTAAAACTAATAATGCTAGTAGAATATATGGTACTATTAAGATA